TTATATCTGATACTGTATGTGTAATTCAAAATGATGTTGAAATTTGAAGAAAATTTTGTAAAAATACCCAGCGGTCAGAGGGTTAAAAACACAAACTGGTAGCATAGTGGTTGTCTCATCAGACTCATAATCAGTAGACCCAAGTCACTTGCAATTTGTACATACAAAACAAAAGTCAGGAGAGACAACAGTGATACCCAATGTCAGGAACTGTCGCCTGGCACAAAAAAAAAATATTTAAAAAAAAAAAAAAGAACACAAACAATGACACAATGCTTATTATCAAAGATAAGTTGGTATCATCATTCTTTTGTTTTTGTTCAATTCCAGGATCAAACTATCCATGATCTTGAAGGAATTCGGGTGATACTAGAAGTAATGTCCCACTGTAATTACATCATAACAGACAAGATTTTGAACATCACATCTGTTAAAAGAAAATCGCCAGTTACACCAAGCACCAGAAATCGACAGCCGAGAGATAAAAATGTCATGTGGTTAACAGGTCAGCAATGCAGACATCTCAGTAATATATGGATGAGGATATTACATCATTTGCCGAGTACTGTGTCTCATACTTATTGCACAGAGGTATACAAGAGAATAGTTCATGGCATTGGTGCATTACTGACTATGAAAGGTATGTAGTTGTTAAAGGCCACATAGACAGGGGAGCACATGGTAATGTAATTTCATTGTACAAATGTGATGGTGCCATTGTACCTGTGTGTATTGCTAGCTAAAAATATATGAATATGCAAGAACCAGTGAAAAGATAACTATCCTTCTGTGCATTTGAAAGGAAACTATCGAAGTAAATAAAAAAATAAAAAAAATGTTATGTTTGATTATAATATAAGATGTTTAGTTTTATTTCTAATAGAACAAATACGTATTATTTTGTGTTACATTTATTTATCACTTTTAAAAGTCAATTTAGTCGCCTCTTTTCTTTCCAGAAACCATTAGAATCCCATCTGATGTTTTGCATACTGTATCCTGGATCTTATCATTGCCATGGTTACAAGTGAGTGCATCATTACTTGTCACCCTCAAATTCGACATATGTTCTGTATTATTTGTTCATGGCTCTGGTACAATCACTATTTATAATTATTGAGAGTTTGCAATAATGAATGCTATGTTTAATTTTCGTAGATGGAGGCTACATGGATGGATTTGAAACCAAGTCATCTGTCACCACAGGATGTAGCTGCACTTAGTGCTAGCTTGGCTGATAAAATTGGTAAGCGTAGCACTGTCGACAAAGTCGCTGATTGCATTTGCACAAATTTAATTCAAATTTATAATAGTAGATTTCACTTATTATTAAAACTAGAAAATTTTAAACACATAGTTTGACATTCCGATTTAAGGTGTCAAAGTATTGGCAGTTTTAATATTAAAACATAATTTTTACACATTTTATTAGTCCCCGTTCGAACGTAGTCCGAAAACGGGGACTTATGTTTTGCCGTGTGTGTGTGCGTCCGTGATCACCTGTATCTCGAACATGCATGGACCGATTAAGTTCAAACTTCACTCATACATCACACATTATATGGGACATATGCACATGCATTTTTTTCATGATCCGATTAACGATAGCCATTTTAAGGCCGAAAATGCATTGAAATCGCACATTTTCACCATTCCGGACCCGGATCTCAGTAATGCATGGACGGATTTTGTTCAAATTTAGTACATACATTAAACATAATAGGACCTTGATGCACGTCATTTTTTTTTGGGATCAAGTTCAAAATGGCCGACTGGCGGCCATTTTGTTTTAAAGAATTCAGTTCTGGATCCGTATCCGAGACATGCTTGGATTGATCGAGTTCAAACTTCACACCCACAAGGT